GAAGGCAGCATAGCGCCAGCCAAGCAGACACTGCCAATGCCTTGCAACTCAAGGTCGCTGCGTGCCGATAATGCTGAAATTATAATAGGGAACTATACCAATGCAGGATATGTATGGTTTTCAATTTGTTCCAACAAATAAACTCTAATATTTTCCCTCTTAATGGTGCGCAACGGTTTCAGTAACGCGCTTCTTTGCATTTATTACCAACAAGTTTTCAATCGAGCAGCAAAACAAATTGGCCCCAACGCTCCCCTGTAGGGCAACCCCACAGAAATGCTATAATATTGATAACAATAATAAAACAACATGGAAAGAGCGCAAGGCAGGAATGACGAAAACGGCGACGGCGCTGCCAAATAAGCAGCAGCAGCAGCAGCAGCAGCAGCGACACAACCGAAACGAGCGGGCGGCAGCGCACAATCGTGTGAGTGAGAAATGGCGAGACCGGGCGATTGGGAGAGCACACCTGAAAGTCATAACGGGTTGTAGTTGTTGTAGTTGTTGTAGTTGTAGGTCGTTGGTCGAATGGGAACGGGAGAGCGGGTGCGAGGCGATGCGAGGCGAGGGCAGATGTAGAAGCACGCACGTAAAGAAAATGAAATCGCAAGCAAATAAGAACACACGAAAAAGCAAAACAAGGCATAAGGAAAATAACATGAAAACATCGGCTGTCGAAGCATTTCATACCCTGCACATATATGATGCCCATAACCATGGAACACTAACCAAAGCTATTTGCGATTGATTGGATTGGCAGCTGTTTTGTATCGGAAGTTAATCTTTTGCTTCCTCTTCTGAGTTGCAAACATCTGTTCAAAGTCGTAATAGCTCTCAAGAGGGTATACTAAGCGGCGGCAATGAAGTAAAACGGAAAGAAATCAAAAAAGAAACGAGTTAAATTTACACCAAGCAAGTATACTCATACAATAAGATGGAGAGCGGGAGACGGAGAGCTAAAGATTGTTAGAGAAGAGAGCGGGCACATGGTGAAATTACTAATAGGTGGATTCACCGCAGTGCCTTCTCATTCGAGGAACACCTGCTTGTCAGTAGTTTGCCTGCCAACCGTCGACGAAACCGTTCTTGTTTACGAATGAAGACGTAAGCGGAAGACAACGAAATAAGCCTGCAAGTACTATTTTATTTTGGATGTGTAATAAACATGTCTGCCACATATTGTTTGCTATGCCGATCCAAAACTTTGCATGGAAGTATTTTAGTTCCAAGAGACGAAAGCAGAAGCGAGGTGTGGTCGACGGTGCTCTTCGATTTTGATTTTAGCTCTCAAACCGAGTCAAACTACGATTTCCTTTTTTGTGGATATTATTCTTATACTTCATTCTGGGCTTGCATTGGAAAATTTGCGTTTGCAAAAACAAGTTGCAGACTTGCAAAGGGAAAATACTGCAGACATTTAGGGCTTCCGTTTATTCAATATTCACGAATTCGCAAGTTAAAAAAGACATTCAAGAAGACATTTCGAATGCGATTTGTCTTCATGCTGCTGGTCCCCGAGTTTCCACTTCCATCCTTCCATCCATCCACTTTGGATAGAATAGAAGAATTCAAATTCAAAAACAGAAACAAAGACTAATTGGTCATAAAACATATCTTAAGATTTTACTATAACATATATGTATGTAACGTAAAACGTTTGCTAACTCTCTCGAGCGCTTGCCGGTGAATAAGCTGCGGCTCCTCCACTCAGCTGACGACGCCACCTTGCCAGTAGTTTCACCATGGCTGCGTCAGCGTCAGGCAGAAGCAAAGCGTCGCGTCAGATGTCTCGCATTAAGATATCAATCACCAACAAAAATCATTGCCCGCCCGGATGATGATATAAACTTACATACATATGCACACATCTTCCTACATTCAGTACATGGTATACACAAATATATACGTAAGTATTTACTTACATTACATTACAATACATTCATTATGTATGCATGTATGCATGTATGTATGCATGTATGTATGTACAAATGGATGTATAGATATTATGCGCTGCGCTTCGATGCGGGGGCGATAGATAAAGCACGCCTGCAGAGCGTTGGCGGCGCTTGGGGAGGGGAGGGAGTCATGCACACACACACACACAAAATACGCTACATTGTTAGGCTGGCCATCTCGTTCGCACCCACGCAAAGCGCCCGAGCCGCTGGCCTTGCGAAACGCGCTCGCTTACTCACACGGGGGTTTGGGACTGCTGCTGCTGCTGCTGCTGCTGCTGCTGCTGCTGCTCTTTAATCTCCAGAGTCGTCGACAGAGACACACTCTCGAGGCAGGCCCCGTTTCGTTTCGTTCGTTTGTTCGTCTTTTTGTGTGTGCGCGGGCAGCGGCGGCGGCGGCGGTGGCGGCACAACAAGTTTTTCAACAGAAGCAGCCGGCACACACACAGAGAGAGAGAGAGAGAGAGAGAGAGAGAGAGAGAGCGGAATACCGAAAAATCCCACACAAATATATCTAACTGTTAACCCCCATTATAGTTAGGAGAAAGGGCGACGCACTAACCTTAAAAAGAGACTATCCACAGATCTAAAAATAGATCGCAGATATAATTTCCGAAGCGATCGATAAGGAAACAAATTCATTTCAATGCGCATTTGTATGTATGCATCACGTGTGCATGGTATGTGCCTTGAGATCACTTTTGGAGTTTGAACTGCGAGGGGGTTAAAGGGAATGGAAAAGGTTTTTTCGCATTAACCAAGGCAATCATTGTTACATGTCGAGTTACATATGTATGTATGCATGCATAAGCCTTCTCTCTCTCTCTCTCTCTCTGTGTCTCTCTTTTTCTGTCTGTCCTCTCTAACACTTTGCGCTCTTCACTGTGAATCTCCCGTTCACCCACTCTGGCTCTCTCTCTCTTGTGTGCTGCTTTTCGCACGCTACGCTACCTACTATGTTGCTACTTTTCAATACCCTACAATAGAGGATGGTGCCAATTGTTTAATTGCTTGCTTACACACATATAATAAGTGTACTTAAGCGGCTACATTTGTATGTGCATACAACCGTGAATATACCGCACGAACGATGTGCAAGGGTATCAAAAGCTTCGGACCCCGAAGCAAGCCGTTCCTTTCTTGGACGTTTTTTTTTTTTTCGTTAATTCATTATTGAGGCCAATTGAATTTGTGTGAAGCAAATAGTGAGAGGGAAAGAGAGGTGTAGGGGGAGAGAGAGTGGCTGCCTAGCTAGCAGCGTGCTTGAATGCTGAATGAGTGACGAACGGACAGTTGGACAGAACGACGGACAACAGTCGGTCCGACGTTCGCCTTGCCTGCGCTGCGACGACGACGGCGACGCGCTGACGAGGGCCTCGCAAGAGACTATGCAACACGTTTAAATATGCGCCACCGAGGCAGCCGACGCCAAACGAGTGAGCAACGAACGAGACGAGCACAAACGACGACGAAAAAAAAAAGAAATACATTCACATACACGCGCGCGCGTGTGTGTGTGTGCAAGTGCTTGTTGTGTACACAAGTAATTTGGAAGAAGAAGCAGACGATGATGAAGAAGCAGTGGCAGAAGAGAATAGCAGAAGCGAAGCATGGAGCAGCTGAGCTGAGCAGAGCAGAGCAGCGACAGCGACAGCGGCAGATACGAAGTTTGATGACGTCGTGGGGAATGAATGGCAAAGTCTAACTGTTTCGTCCGCTCGCTCGTCTCTCCCCGCCTTTCGCCTACCTACTCACATCCCTTCCCTACCCGCTCTAGACAACATGATGCACCCCGCCGCAGCCCAATAACCCGGCCACACACTTAATTCTAGCTTAACATTTCGCTTGCTGTTCGGCATTTATACCCAGTACTCGTGGGGCGTATCAGCGTAACTGGAATTTAACCCAATTTATGCGGCAGGAAGGAGTACCTACATACTTACACAGATCTAAATAATGCTAACTTCAATTAGGTCATTTGGGTCCATAAAAGTTGAACATTTTCACCCGTGCCCGCTGAGCCACGATGCGAGGTATCGCATTGTCGCTTACAGTGCACTCCCTTGTTTTGCCTACATATTTCTTGTATGATATTTCTTTGCTTTTTCGCGTCGTTTTATCGATGAGTGTTGTTGCTGCTGCTGTTTCTTTTTGCATGGGTCAGAAGTTCGTTGCGACGGCTGGCCCGCACCTCGTGTGCGCTACCATTCGGTGCGGGAGTGTGTGCGCGAGATACCCGCCGTAGTGCGCACAGCTGGAGCAACAGTTGTGCCCATAAAGGAAACCCATATGCCCCATGTAAGCAAATGAAGCGCAACGATAACGCGAGAAAAAGAGAAAGGTGAACCAAGAAGTGTTGGCGGGGTGGGGTGGTTGGATGGACAAGAAGAGGATGACGAGTAGGAGAACACGCTGAAGCAGACTATTGAGAATAGTTCAACGATATCAAGGTCCATGTGGCTGAGGTCGGAACAACGAAGGACACTAACGAAAGGTATGTCCATTAATGGAGAGTAAATAAATGTATATATAAATGTATGTGAATTTTGACGGAAATAAACAAAGCCCAGTGGTAATTGCAATCATTTGGCAAAATAATGTTGAGCGAATACTAAGGGAAAACAAAATGGTGTCCGGCATGAAAATAAGGGTGGAAAACAAAGAAGAATTGAAGGCGAAAAAGAAGAAGATGGCAGTCACACTGAGCATACAAAGGAACCGGAGAGAGCTGAGAAGAACGAACAGAAAATAGCGAAATCGTAGCAGTTCTATGGTGGAGTTCATATCGAGAAGTTCGTACGTAAATAATTATGGCCAGCGAAGACTAGAAAAGCTGAAATTTCGACAAAAACATGAAGATCTTGGAAAAGGAATAAGAATAAGAGGTATGTATGTAGAAAACGGAAGGCGAAGATTCACCCACCTTTTTGTTTTTTTTTTCACGTTTCTCTTTGCTCTCCTTTTTGAGTCTTCGTTGTTCTCCTCTTATTAGCAATTGGGAGAATGGTGGGGAAAGGAAAACAAAGAAGAGACGAAGAGAATGTAGTGACAACGACAATGTAGCCAAGGGCTGGAAAGGCCAGCTGGCTGGGCAGAAGGGCCTTTCAATCGAGGGAGAGAGATGGAGAGAGAGAGAGAGCGAGAGAGGAATGGAATGGAATGGGTGGATGGGGGCATTGAACAGAGCGCATGCAGTGAGGCCCCGGTCAGACCAGACCGTTGAGAGAGCAGAGCAGAGCAGAGCGTCGGCAGTGGCAGCAGCAGAGTTGATGAGCGAGGAGGGGCGCGGAGAGAGTGCGAGAAACTGCAGTGGCGAGCAGAGGCGAATGAAAGTGCATAAAGCAGCCAAGTAAATGCTCTGTCCATGTATTTATGTACATAAACTATCTAAGCACGTCTCTCCTTCATCCTCTTCTCCGGTTTCTCGAGTTCTCTCTTTTTGCAGTTGTTGGTGTTTTTGTTGTTCTCTTTATTTTTGTTAATGCCTTTGCATAGATTACAATGCCAAGAAATTGATAAGCGAAAGATGGGGGATACTGATAATGGAGCCGCCTGGCACACTTACACCAGCAACAGCAAACTTGTAATCAAGAGTGATGGAAGAGTTGAAAGAGAGAAGAGTGGACTGTGGGTGCTGCTGCCGCTGAGCTGAGCGGTGGGTTGCAGAGGTGTTCAAACGGATGTCCGGTCCCCCCATCGGATTGGCCAAGTAAAAGAGACAGCAAGCCAGAGAGTGAGGCCAAGTGGTCTGCTCTTGGGATGGGGGTGCAAGCGGCAGAGGAGTGTGAAAGAGAAACCAGCGCATTCTAGATTAAGCTAGAAGCTTAACCCTATTTGACCCAAGAATGATCTTACATGTGCAAGGCATGCATATTTTCAATTCATAGAAAGAGTTTTCAAAAGTTGCACTCTAAAATAGAAATAAGTTTTGTGGCCTGCCCAATCAATTTGATGATCTCTGCCGCCCTGGTCGGGGGCGATAGACCAGGTTCGCAGCCCTCGTTTTGTAGTGGGGCCTGTTCGGAAATTCGTCCGCCCCTCAGCGCCAGCAACGAACTCCATTCCCCCCAGCTACCCTGCTGGGGGAACATTGCCAAAATCAGAGCATTGGCAGGAATGCCCATCCCCCCGCCCCCACTCTCCCGCTACATCATTGCCTGATAGACACACAAACATTCAGACATGGAGTAAGAGAGAGATGGACAGAGAGTGGAGAGTAAGAGACACCCACCCACCACCGCACACACACACACACAGCACAACCAAGCACACGCATGTATGGACATGTTTAGGCATGTTTACATAGCAAAGCGTGAAACGAAACGGGGCCTCGCTTGGCGTTCGCTTTTCGCTGCTCTTCGCTCGGCTATGGCACTCGTCTGCCGCGACAGCGACAGCGACGCAGTGGCCTTATCTGTGTGAGTGCGTGAGAAAACCCATGCCACACGCCATGTATATACTCATACATACATAGATATGTATGTACTGGAAGAATGGGCTGACGAAATAATCAAATTCGACGAATTACGGGAATACCCATGGGGGTGCCCATACGTAAACAGCTGACTAATTAGAAAGATTTCATGTTTTAGGTACCTCGTCAAAAAAGAACAAGATTCAAGCATAAAAGCATAAAAGCTGAGCTTAAGAGAAGAGCCAGTGGATGCATAACTGTGTGTGTAGAGAGTGGCCCTGGACCAGGGCCCTCGGCTAATTAAATGTTTCTCTTTCTACTTCTTTTTGGTAAATGCTTACAGCAGAGCGACCTTTTGCTGAGCTGCGCAGCCAACACGTACACAGCTAACACACACACACACACACACACACACATGTATGTTTGTATATATATGCAGAGCCAGCTGACACGAAGCGGCATTCGTTGGTTGCTTTGCAGTGGTCTTCTCTGGTCGGTCCCCGTCCTGAAGCGGGGCCTTTCTTGGCCTGGCCTTAGCGCGCGAATACCAAAAACTTCTTGCATTCACCCACGCGGCCGACCGAAAGGGATGGGGTGGGGGCAACAGGCGGATGGAGCTGGAGAGAGAGTGTAAGAGCAGTGAAAGAGATAAAGAGACTGAGGGAGAGAGAGAGAGAGAACGCCAGTCAGGCCATCAGGGATTGCGTGGTGCATAGCGAGCAGGGGATGGGGGAAAGCTAACCGCGGCTTGGTGTTGCCAAAAATAGAGACTCTCCCTCCCCTCCCCTTCCCCTCCCCATAATGGCGAACCCCCTGCACGCCCACGGGGAGCACACACAACACACAACACACAACCCACATCTCGCCTCTCTCCTCTACCACATGGCTATGGCTCTGACCCAAGCAAGCGTCCGACGTCTGCCCCAGCTCTCTTCTAGCTGTTCTTCTATGTGAATGCACGTATGTACGTGTGTTGCTGTTGTGTCTGTGTTGTAGAAATGGGAGGCGGTGGCTCTTGTACATAACTTGGGTTAGGCTTTCCTTGCACAGTGGGGACATGTGCGTGCGAAAAGGGGCTAAATAATGGTGAAAGTTGATGAAAAGTGGGAAACTTGAATTAAATATTAACTATAAATATTTTACAACTTTAAGTGGAAAAATATATGCACTTGACTATAACCGATCTGAACCTAACTTAACTTAGGTGAAGACGCTTGTCAGTGTACATCCAACTGTAGGTGTAACATTACGTAGAAATATCCGACTTCAAATTTATTCGTCCATCTGTATCTCGTCTGTACAAATGTTCATCCAATGCGAACCACTGTAGGTGTAACATCTAGCCAGTGCTTTGCGCTGCTCTGCTCTGCTCTGCTCTGCTCGCTGCCCGTCGTCACAGTCGACGATGCCGCTTCGAGCTAGACGAAACGGTAGATGGGGTGGGTAGTAGAACAAGAAGAAGCAGAAGAAGATTGGTAAGGGGTGGGTGGGGAGCCAGAAGAAATGCGCAACGTGACTCAAGGTGTCTGTTAGGTGATGGGAGGGGGGGGGGGGGGTTTTGCCGAAGGAACCGAACATGGACAGCAAGCGGAGAAGCATCAGCAGCAGCAGCAGCAGCAGCAGCAATTCGGCAAAATGTTCGTTCCGTTGCATGCCCTCGGTCGTTGTTGCAGCAGCAGCGGGTCTGCTTTTCCTCTGTGTATTTTTGAATCTTTTCTTTTTCTTTTTACTCTATATTCGTATGTGGCTGTATATAATATATATACTTCAATATACATATATATTTCAACGCATACACACAAAGCTGCTGCGCTGCACTGGCGCTGCCGCTGCCGCAGTCACAGCTGGCGTCAGCGCCGCAGTCTCTCCCGCTAAAAGCGCTGTCTCACAAACTGTCTCTCTCTCTCTCTCTCTCTCGCTCTCACTCTCCCGTTCTGTGTGCATGTGTGTGTGTGTGTGCCGTGCCGTGCCGCACACATTTTTCAGTTGACTTCGTTGAAATAATTTTCGTAACAACGATCTCACTCGTTTGTTTATTGCGAAGACGGGAGGACGTTGTCGTCGTGGCGCTCGTACAGTCCGCAGAGTGAGAGACCGAAACGCAAACGCGAAAAACGAAAAAGCTAGCAGCCACAGCAGAATAGTAGTGTTATTTTGTGAACTTTTTTTTTGCTGGTTTTTTTTTTGAAATACCAAACCCGCGTCACCCTTGGCTGTCACGTGTCTGTGTGTGTGTGTGTGCGTGTGTGGAGACGGAGACCCACATAGAATTGTTACACTTCGAAGTGAATACGGATTGCAAAATAGCAAACGACAAATGTTTGAGCGGTTCATCCAGAAAATTGGTTATGGTTTTTTTTTTGTTCGTAACCAATCTGGAGTCAAATCATTGAAAATCATGCAGCAGCAGCAGCAGCAGCAGAAGTCGCAGTTTGTTTTGTGTAAGAGTGGGCTGTGGTGATAAATAATATATAGTAAATTGTATATAGACGCTTTGTATGTACCTAAATTGGTGTGCATGAGTGAGTCTGTGTGCGTGTGTGTGTGTGTGTGTGTGTGTGTGGAGATTGCAAATTGAATGAAAAAATGCAACAAAAATTACAACAACCGAAAAGCAACAACAATTACAACGGCAAAAACACAACAAACAGCATAAAATACCAACAAAAACAGCAACAAATACTGCCAAAAGTGCGCGCGCGAAAGAAACAGCACGACACACACTCACACAGCGCAAGAGAGAGAGAGAGAGAGAGAGCGAGAGATTGAGAGAGAAACAGCAAAAACATCACGTTTCAGACGTTTTCTTGCTGGTGTGCGTGTCCAGAGTGGCTATACATATCTGTGTCAACTGTGTGCGCCGAAGAGATGGAGAGGGAGAGGGAGAGTGAGGGAGAGCGCGCATGCCGGCCACTGAAAGAGTGGCCGCCCCTCGTTCCCACATATACCAGTGCCGAAATGTGTGCGTGTGTGTCTGTGTTTCTCTAACAATACGTCATCAACCGAATTTGTGTGTGGCAGAGAGCAAGAGAGCAAGAGAGAGAGGGAGAGAAAGAGAGTGCAGTTTTAACGGCTTTTTTAACAGAGTTACCTTTTCTGATTCTTCCTTTAGCTATTGGGAGGAAATAAACAACAACAGAACCAGTATCGAACTTCCCTTTGCAAACAAAGTGAAACATCGGAGAGTGAAGTGAGAAGAAATACGAGCAACGCTTTAACAAGAGGCGAAACAAAGAGAGAGAATAAAACAAAGATAACAACAGAGAGCGTGCCACATCCGCGTCATGTCGGACGAGGATGTGCAGATCACCAGCGTCGTGGACGCCAACGGTCAATCACTGCCGCTGCAAGGCAACAGCCTGGGCGGCACCCCTGGCACCGTCAAACAGGAGCGCCCTGACGATGCCGAAATCCGTGAGCTGGCCGCCAAAATGAAGGAGCAACAGAAGCATCAGGCCGCCGCGCTGGCCAGTCGCCAGGCTTTGCAGCACTCTAATGGCGCCGGCTCAGGCGGCGGAGCCATGCAGCCGCCCGTCACCAACGGCAATGGACAGACGAACATCCTGAACTACTTGTCACGCCACCAGAAGCTGCCCAACGGCACCATGCAGGTGGTGCCCGTCATGGCAGCCAACGGACAGCGAGCCAACGGCTCGGTGCTGATACAGAACCAGGCCGCTGGCGCAGGCGCAGGCGCAGGCGAAGCCACTGAGAAGAAGTCCTCCTCGGGCGGGCCATGCGACGAGGAGTCGGTGATGGGCCGCTTCGGTTGGGCACAGTTCGGCAAGGTCTCCATCCCATACATCTACCGGCAGACGGAGAAGTACTGCTCGGTGCGCATGATCGAGCTGAAGCTGCTCGGCAAGTACCTCAACTGCTTGCATCCGGACATTTACTCGAGCTGCACCTGCGTGCGCAGCTACTACATAACCGATGCGGAGGCGCGTCTGTTCATCGAGGTGAACCACAAGCACTGCGACGGCGAGTTCGGCCGCGACATATTCACACAAAAGGATCTGGTGGTGCGTCTGGGCGACGCCTCCAAGTTCTTCCAGTTCCTGGACATTTGCTACCGCAAGCTGGTGACCGGCAGCAAGACGCCCTCGGAGAAGTGCGGCTTCATCCGGATCAACAAGGAGTCCGTCGTCCCTTACACGGTGCGCAACAATCAGCAGGTGGTGCCACTCTTTTACTTCGAGGGCGAAACGGAGAACCTCAAGACCAAGGCGGAGCTGCTCAATGGCTGGGATCTGGCGTACCTCAAGTTCTGCTGCAAGGTCCAGGGCATTCGCAACGAGCTCTTCTCCAGCGAGAATGTCGCCGTCATTTCGCTCACGGACATCAAGAGCTACTTCCCCAATGGCACCGAATTCGAGGACTACTGGCCCAGCAAGGTCGTTGACTCCAATCTGCTCATTGGCAATCGGGCGAACGTTAACAATTCTGTTAACTGGACCCGCCAACCCTCCGCCCCACCTCCAAAGATCACGACCACTGTGAACACCAACTCCTCCAACAGCGCCGGCACCGCCGTCAACAACTCCACCACTGGTGGCGGCGGCAGCGCTGGTGGTGGTGGTGGCGCTGGCGGTGGCGGTGGCGGGGGTGTAGGCGCACAAAAGTCCCAGCAGCACAGCTCAGGCGTGACCACAGCTGCCGCACAGCAGCTGATAAAGCAGCGCGCTGCAGCGGCAGCCAACGCCAATGGCGTCTCAAATGCCAGCGGATTCGGCGCCTCGCAGGCAGCGGCAGCAGCAGCGGCCGCCTTCAATACCCAGGCAGTGGCTGCGGCGGCGTCGGCAGCGATGATGCAGCACTCAGCGGGCAACAACCGCATGCTCTCGCAGGCAACGGTGCAGGCGCTGGCCAACAGCGGCTGGATGTCGGGACAAACAAACATGCAGCTGCATGCCCAAATGATTGTAAGTTTTTGCTCTCTATTATTCTGCTGTGTTAAGGATGCTATTTAGTCGTTTCCCCAAACGCATGAATGATTATCATAAATATGATTTGGGCATCTGCCCTAAGCTATTGGCTGAAGGGTTTTTATCATCGTTCAAGTTGTACATATTATGTACCAAAAAATGTACCATGAGCGCTGCTTTGGGCGTGTACACACACAAATACATACATTATACATTTTTTTGGTATTTATTTATGGTTTCTATATTAACAGTTATTGTTATTAATGACAGCATTAATGTAAAACATGCTGCCACATATATGGGGGCATGCATCAAACTATGTACTAGCGGCTGCTGCGGCGACAGTTGTGGGGAGTGTGTGTATGTGGCTGGTTTCAGTTTTCTAACTGAGTTTTTCACAGTTTGACAGCCGCGCAGCAGCCGCGCAGCAGTCGGGGGAAACTAGGTCAGCCAGCCAGCCAGCCAGCCAGCCAGCCATCGTGTGCAGCAGCAGAGCCTCTCCCTCGCACTTGCACACTTGTGTGTTTGTTTGCATGCACACACACACACACATGCATAGTGGTGTGACGGCAACCTGTTGTTGCTGCTGTGTGGCTTTTGCGATTTCTAAAGCCTCCCTTTTGCAGTTGTTTTAATGCGGCTTCTCTCTCTCTCTCTCTCTCTTTCGTTCTTGGTGTATCATTTTTGGGCAACATCCCAGTCACAGGCTCAACAGTCGCATGTGGCAAACGCGAATCGTGTGGGCAGCTATCGCGAGCACATGAACAACCTGATGATGAGTGGCAGCAGCCGTCAGCCGTATTCCTACAACAATCCTTCGATCTCCATGTCCTCGGTGAACAGTCACAATGCCAGCGGCGGGGGTAATGCCCCACCGCCGCTGGTGCGCTCCGCAGCCGGCCAGAATGCCAATCACATGTAAGTACCACCACTTACCCACACATACCTCCCATTTACCACCCCCCCTTCCTCCCATGCTATTTATTTGCTGCCAAACAAAAATTATTGAACAAAGAAAGAAAACAAAAGAAATCAAGTCTCATTTGCTCAATAATATTCTACATACCATTTGATTTTGCTCTCCTTTTAATGATATTTACCTTACATTATTGATTACATATTTACGACGTTCATTTTGTTGAATCTCGATGCAAATGCGCAGAAATTGTGTTTTTCAAATTTTGTTGTAATTCGTTATTTGCCAATATCAAACCTTACTCTATCATTTTTCCGTTGCTGTTGTTTTATTTACACATAGCAAAGTGGGCCCAAGGGGTTGACTTTTCAATGTCTCAATGTCTCTCAAAGGGGGTGGGTTGTACAGCGATAAGTATCGCTTCCAGACGATTAATTTGCATTTTCTGTTCATTCTACTGCTGTACCTGTGGCCTGTGGCCTGTGGCCCCGAGTGACGGGCGAGACATTGAGAAATCGCCGCTTGAGCCATAATTGTACTTGCCATTAGGGTGCCACATGACTTACATACGACATATAAAAGATAGTCAATATTATTTTTGCTCTTTCTTTATTCTCTTATCTAATGCACCGATTGTTTTTTTGGATCATTCTCAATGTTAGCTATAAAATAGAGTAAAAAATAACAAAATGATAAAACACACACACACAACAAATAAATATAAATAGAGGCCACCGAAATCGGCGTTTGTGCACGCATTTTATTTAATTCGATTGGAAATATATTTTCAAACTGTGTTTACCGTTTTTACATGAATCAAATACTATATATTTAAACATATACAAAAAAACAAAACAAAAATAATACTCGCTCCACGCATAACTTCTCTCTGTCTCTGTCTCTACCTCTCTCCCACTCACTCTCTGTGCTCCTTGTTTGCCTTTCAAATTCATGCAACATTCATTCGAATTTTGTTCGCTTAACGTAATTTCTTTGCAAGGTAAATTACTCCATGTTTAATCGTATCCGTAGACTTCTCACATCACCAACAACAGAAAGTACAGAAAAACACACACACACACAAATAATTACACCGTTACGACTTATCGTGTACAGTCTACAGTTGGTTGACTTTTCAAGGACATCGCGTCTACAGCACATATTTTTCGAGTCAAACGTTTACGTTTACGTTTTGTTTTCGGCTCTCCAGATTCCTAATGCATTAGGGTACCTCAAGCGCGGCTCTAAATTGTACAGAATAATTCGGGGCGGTATTGGTTTCGGTATCGGGAGAGCAGCGACTGGGAGGGTGACTGGGTGGAGCATGTATTCAATTGGCAACGATTTCGACTAACAATAATTGGCCCAAGCCTAGTCCCAAGTAGAACTAAACTCTAAATTGACTCAAATTAAACTCAACACACACACACACACCTACACTTACACACACACACACACACACACACACTCTCTCTCATATATGTATCATTTTGTAGAGTTTTTTTTTTATTGGTTAGTTTTGAAAAGATTTGTTAATGGTACCCTAACCCCCTAGAGATGAGTTTGTGCATGTCCCTTTTTTGATGGTTGCTCAACCCCGAATGAACCCGAACAGAAGTAATATTCAAATATCTATAGATCCTATGTAGCATACAATTTTCTCTATAAATAAATACCTACACATAATAACTAATTATAATTATTATGATTATTTTGTTGTTGTTGTTTTTTTTTTCTCTTTTAAATATTTGTTTCTTGCTGTACAATTCTGTTTTTATTCCTTTATTCCCCTACCGCCCCACGCCCCACGCCCAACTGCTTCTTTCTTTTGTATTGTACAATAATTAAGCTCAAATAATTGTTAATCATTTCCTTGGAGAGATCGAATGGATCAAAAGAGGCAGAACAACATATTTTGAAAAACATAAATTCGCATATTCAAATGAGAAATCAATGAAAATAATGTTTTTACATAGATATATCGTTAAATATATAATATGCAACAAACATATCTACATTTATTTTATGGCTGTGTGTACTGACTACCCCTAATGAAATCGCGCGCCCACACACACGCACACGCACGCACACGCACACTTTTGACACAGACATACGCTGACGCTGACGCCGACGCTGACGCTGACGCATGACGCTGACTCATGAATGAAACGGATGGGACAATGCAGCGACAATGAAAAAAATGAACGCGAAAGCGAACGAGAACAGCAAGCAAGTCTTCTTGGTGGTGGTGGCAGGTTTCAACCCCCGTTTGGCCCCACGCGTCCCTCCATCACTTCGTCTTCTCACTCTCCCCCGCCCGCCCAACACACAAAATCCCAGCTACATTATATCTGCATACAATAAAACACACACACAAAAATGCGTTTCAAGCGCAACGGTAAATTAAGCAGGAGAGCAACACTAAAAGTTGAGCGAAAGTTCGTCAAGCTTAGGAAGCAGAGCGAAGGAGAGAGAGAGAGAGAGAGAGAGAGAGAGAGAGCTTATTGAAAGCTTGTCATGTCGATCATGTACACTCACACACACACTCACACACACACAAATACTCGCACACATTTTCAATGTTCATTACGAGAAAACACACACAAAAAAAAAACAACAGTTTTTGGCAAAAGCAAAAACAGATAGAGAACCGAAAGGAATAATAGAGAGCAAAAATAATAATTGTAATAATAATAATAATAATTATAATAATAATAATAACAATAAACAATGACCGTTTAGTTTCCGCAGCCTTGGTTTCGGCAGACGCATTGATATCAAGTGGATTCCCATTTCACCCTATTATCGATTGACCAAGAAAGATGCAGAAGAATTGAGAACAGGTAGAATCAAGAACACGAAGCAAACAAAACCGCAAGAGAGTTCAAGAAAGAGAAGTACAAGTCAAGAAAAAACGAAGAAACAGAAGAAATCGCAGAAGGATGAAGAAAGATGAGGATAGAGAGTGGCACGGAAAGAAGAAAAGCAGAAGCAAAACAAGAGACAGCAAGCAAACGAAGACAAGCACCTGAGCGAAGAAATGTACAACACACAGAAGATGTATCTCAATAAAGAAAAGAAATTGTAGGCGTTTGCTTATCTAGAACCCATAACCCAAACCGTCCCATACTTTTCGCTCCAAAACCAACAAAAAATATCAATTAAAGCTTGTAGTCTGCGTACTTGTCGATTAGCTAGAGATTAGACCAACAAAAGTGCTATGCACATGTGTATGGTACATATTGGTATTATGAGACTGTACAAATGAGATCAGATCAAATCCGAACGGCAAAGGCGCGAGCACACAGTGCAATTACAACAAAAATTGAGAATCAGAGAATGTAACTTGAAAAGCAATTCAAAAAACGAATTAAAAATTGACCAAATTGTAAAGTAAATCAAATATATGTTAAAAAAAAAAACAAAAAAAAATGTAAACCAAAAAAAAATGTGGAAAATTGATGAACAGAGAGCTCTCTCCAACAAGAGGTTACAACACTTATGTATTATGTATAATGTTTCTAGGTCGAATGTCGAGCAGTCACTGGTGCAACAACAACAACAACAGCAACAGCAACAAAAGACTCAACAACAACAACAACAACAACGACACCAACCACACCAAAACAGCACATTCAACAACAACCACGTACAACAACAACAACAACATCACAGTCAAAACCACCAACAAACACACCAACAGAACAAGAATACCCACAACAACACGCACAACAACAACAACAGTAACACCAACAACAACAACAGTACCTACAATCATTCCGCCGGCCACGCTCTCGGCAAAAGCTTCAGCAGCGGCGGGAACGGCAAGAAAAGTAACTCCTCCTCCTCCAACACCAACACCAACTCCTGCGCCTCCAACAACACCAACACCAACAGCAACAGCAACACCAACCAGCAATCCCAATCGGCCGCTGCCATGGCAGCCGCTGCTGGCTATGTCCAGGCCCTGTTCGGTGGCGGCGGCGGCACCACGGGCAACTCCTTCAACTACAACCTGCCATCAACGAGGGCGGACTACACGAATCTGGCCGAGTGGAATCAGCTGACGCCCGCCCAGCGGTTGCTCTTCAGTCAGCAGCTGAAGAGTTGCACCGGCGGAGGTGCCCCCAATGCCGCCAGTGTTGGCTCTCATCCAGTCATCGCGGGAGGAGTTGGTGCCGCCAGTTCCGGCTTGGGGCAGAAGAACTTTCCGACGCTGCCTTCCCTGCCGCTGGACACGGATCTCATCACGATGCTGGACTACAACAATCCCAACAAATCGGCCAGCAAGAGCTCCAAGACGGGGAATGGCAGCAGCAGCGGCAGCGGCAGCGGTGGAGGGACCTTTACGAAGCCGAATGTCCCACCACTGATACCAGATGGCGGACTTGGAGTCGGAGCTGAGCAGATGAGCACCGCCAAAAGTCGCAGAGGAGGAGGAGGAGGTGGAGGTGGCGATGGCTCCGGTGGGGCCACCACAATATCCCTAAACTCCACCCAGGCGCTGGAGGACTTTGAGAAGAAGCTGAAAATGACGGACGAGATGCGTGCCGTCATACAGAAGGTTCTGGCCAATCCCGATCTCTCCACGTTCATCCAGACGAATGCGGCGGCAGCATCCAATCATGGTCAGGGTCATCTGGTGCCCTCCTACATATCGCCGCCCATGTCCCCGTCGGTGGGCGTGGGTTTGGGTGGTGCGCTGGCGGGCATTGGCGGTGTGACCACCCTGTCCCTGGCCTCCAATCCAAATGTGACCATCACGCCCCAGCTGCCGGGCCACTTTCTGCACTCACCCTCCAGCTCATGTTCCAGCTCAAGTGCCTCCACCACGGCCGCCTCGCCGCTGGGCAATGGTCAGGCTGCATCGGGTGGTGGTCCAGCCGGTGCCGGCGGCGGCGGTGGCGGCGGCGGCGGCAAGGGCGGTGTGGGGCGACAGAAGAGCGTCATCTGCTCGACCAAATCGAACAATCTGCCGATGGCCATACTCTCGCTCTCGCCGCAGAGCAGTGCCAGCGGTCGTCGCGGGGGTTCTGTTAATTACGGGCGTCAGACACACAGCCACAGTCACAGTCACAGTCACAGTCATAGCCATAGCCATAGCCACCACCATCATCACAGCCATTCACACACCCATCCCACACACTCGCCACAGTTTAGTAGTAGTAATAATTCTAGTAGCAATAGCAGTAGCCACTATCAGCAGGATGGGAAGAATCCGAATCCGAATCCGAATCCGAATCCGAATCCTGGTGCTGGCAGTCGAACGACACCCACTGACGTTATCGATTTGTCCTCTTCCCGAAGGTCTCTGGCAGCGTCAGCGGCCTACCTGCAGCAGCATCAGCAGGCGGCTGTCGCGCAGCAGCGCATGGCAGCGGTGGCCGCTCATCATGCCCAGCAGAATGGACGCAGCGCCTCGAATGCCAGCGGCGGTGGCGGTGGAGGAGGCGGTGGAGGAGCCGGTGGCGGCAGCACTGGCAGCACCGGCGGCAGCAGCAGCGGCAGCAACTCATCCTCGGGCTCAGCGTCGGCGAACAGCGCCTCTCTGCACCTGCAACGTCATGCGGCGCTGGCCCATGCGGCGGCTGCCGCCGGCGCGGACGGTGCACAGCGGCTGTGCGTGATACCAGAGATACCCACAAACAACATGAACCTGCATCCCTACAAGATACAGAAGGTGTGCGTGGACAAGCACCTGGTGCCGTGCATCAACATGAAGGCCTACAATGACTCCGAGCAGCTGATGACCCTCATTGAGTTCCAGAAGAACTTTTTCCCCTCCGTGCCGCTCGAGCACTGCAAGCGTCTGATCGAGGCACTCGGCGTGGAGTTGTACAAGGCGAACCGGTAAGTTCTCAAGTTCACTTCGTTTCCCTTCTGTTGCCAAAATGGGAACCCAAACACCAATTACTCACGAAATCTCTCTCCCGCTCTCCCGCTTTCCCGCTTTCATGTTGCAGACGACAAGTGCAGATTCTCATGGAGTACGACCGAACGTACACGAACGAGAATATGCCGCTGGTGCAGGTGCGCGACATAATCAAGTATATGACGCAGTTGACATTCATGACACGACAGTCGGAGCAGCCGCCAGCTAAGCGGACGCGAACGAGCTAGGATTTAAGCTGGGGAGCACAACATTTTACACCAACAACAAACACAACAAGTACCACAACAACAACATCAGCAGCAGCAGCAGCAGCAGCAGCAGCCACAGCCAACACAACAACAAGAGCAACAGTAACAGAAGCAGAAGCAGCGACGCCACTGCGTAGAAGAGCCTCAACGCCGCCACACAATCTGAGCAGCGATGTGCTGCCTATGAAGCGAAAGTCGAGTGCAGCTTTAGCACCCCCACCAGCACCACAGCAGCAGCAGCAGCTGCAGCTGCAGCAACAGCAGAAGCAACACCACCAAAACCACCAACCGGCACACCAACACTTTCAGTCACAGCAGCAGCGAACACAACACAACAACAGCAACACATACGAAATGTTGTACTCCCACAACCAACACCAACAGCAACACCCGCACCCGCACCAACCGCAACCGCAACCGCAACCGCTCCCGCAACACCACCAACAACAGCAACAGCAACATGCTGAGCAGCAACATGTTGAGCAACAGCAGCAACATGCTGAGCAGCAGCGGCTGCTTAAGAAGCGGCAACATGCCGAGCAAAGCAGCGCCAGGAGCAGCACCACCAACACCACCACCACCACCACCACGAGCAGCAAAAGCAACAATCCCACTACCAGCAGCAGTCACAGAAGTAGCACCACAGCAGCAGCAGCAGCCACTGGTCCAAGTGGCAGAACTGCCGCACAGAAAATGGCCGAGGCGGAGCATGCTTACCTCTCGAATCTGTATGGCAAGGCGGCAGCCAATATGCTGAGTCCGCCGCTAAGCAGCGCCCTACCAGAGTGGAGTCTAGTGCAGCAGAAACAACAGCAACAGCAACAGCAGCAGCAGCAGCAGCAACAGCGTCAGCGCAGAGCAGCGCAACTGCAGCAGCAGCAGCAGCAGCAACACGTGACAGCGGCAGCGGCAGCACCACCGCCAGCAGCACGTGCGCCACCGCCACCGCAGCAGCGGCACATTATGATGCGCCGGCATAGCGTGTGCGCGGCAGGATTGGCCCGGTTGTCGCCGGCCTCCAGTCACACTTCCTCGGCCACGGCCTCGCCCACATCGGCGGCAGCAGCAGCCGCCCTGGCCGCAGCCTCCTACTACGGCAATGCAGCGGCCGCAGCGGCGGCAGCGTTCACTGCACCATATCAGCATCATCATCATCATCATGCGGCAGCGGCGGCAGCCGCCCACCATCATGCAGCGGCAGCGGCGGCAGCAGCAGCGGCTGCGGCGGCAGCCCATCACTCGCACGGTCAGCCATCGCCGACGATATATCCGCCGACGCCACCGCCATCGGCGCCGTGGGTGCATCCCTGGTATGCGGGCGACGCTCCCTTCTGAGAGCGGCCCCAGCAAGTATCCCAACAAATTTTGTAAATTTTAGTTGTAGACTTAAGCTATTTAATAACTTATCTTATGGATACCTATTTTTTTTTTGGACTAGCTCTTAAGTAGGCTAAGTACAACAATTTCTGGGCATTATATGCCGCTAAAAATGGATCGACAAACAGGCAGACAGGCGACAGGCGACAGGCGACAGAGTGAGGTTGGAGGTGGGAGGTTAACTATCTTAATGGCTACTTGAATTTGCGTGTAGAACATTTACACATGAGAACTCAAAGAACTGATTACAATTTATTATCAATTTATTATCACACACACACACACACAACAAAATGCATACAAAAAAGAATGAACAGAAGCCAAGCCGCCACGCAGCAGTTGTTGGCGCTCGTTTTGCGCATTAGAAATTCGAATGAACGAAAGTCTTTTTTTTTACTAAAGAAATATTATATATAAATCGATAGATGTATGTATAAAATAACTCGTAAATTGTAAGAAAGAAATTAAATTTCTGCAACAAACTAAATCTAGAAAGAAAATGCAAAATGCAAAATGCAAACTGAAAACTAAACAACCAAAACTACGACCTAGGAAGAACTAGACCTAGAGCAGCGATGCGAAAAAGTGAGTCAAGAGAAATAGTAAAATAATAAGTGGAGTGGCAGTGAGAAGAGAGAGAGAGATTCCATTGGCAAGCCCATGATCGCCCCAACTATCATCACAGAACATAGTGTATTAAGATCTAAGCAATTTTTCTAATTGAACCATTTCCAAATCTTACCGTAAACCCACAAAAGCTACAACTAAAAACTACAAAAAGTGAAGAAGAAAAACAAAGAACAAAACCTTAACAGAAACCGATGTTTAAAACATACAAAAAAGAGATCGATTCGAGAGATAGTGAGATAGAATACCCATAAGATGATTAAGTTATATACAGACAGACCTGTGGGCTGTATATGTACATAAATAATTGTATGAAATATTTTGAATATCCGTTTTATGGATTTAATCAAGTTTAATTTTTTTTTTAGCTAAGTTAACGTAAACGTAAACTATGATTAATACTACTATTAAGCATTTGATTGAAAATATTTATTTTATTTGATTTGATTTGATTTGATTTTTCCCACTCCTGCCCAACCGAAACCGAAAAGGAAAACATTTATTTGTGCTGTTATTTAAATATCTGGGCACCTTGTTGAAATCATTTTCGTACTTTCGTATTTACGTAAGCCCACAGACATCTACTCAAAGAGCGCTACCAGAACACAGACTGTGGGCCATTAAGCTGGAACTATGTAGAGCCTATGATTACATACATTTACTATGTTAAAATATGTACAGAATATGTACAGAATATGTACAGAATATGTACAGTTTGTTGAGAAATCCGAGAAAGTATTTAACCATTTGTTTATGATTTTTATTTGCATTTTTGCCAGAGCAGAAGGGCAACAAATAAAGAAATGAAGCGAAAAACCTAAGCGAGAACAAACTCAAAAATTGTTTTTATTTCTAAAAACAACTGTCTCTAAGCAGAGCTTTTGCTGCCCATGGGGAAAAGCACGCAAGGACTACTATGCGTGGACATACTTACTCCTGTTGCCTCAACCCTAGTTTCGATCCTTGACTGGTCTGGAATGCAAGCCGCCAAAGCTTTTGCGCCTAAAAGCACACGCATGGAGCGCAGCTTTGCACTGCGGTGAAAAGCTGCAACTGAAACTGCGAGTTTCCGTTACAAGTGTACAAAAAGCTTTACCCAAAAAGGGCTACCGTTTTATGGTTGCGTCATCGATGCGTCGCTGCTCTGTTGCCTTGTCCAATGAAATGTAAAATTCTGTTGCTGCCTGACGGGGTGTGGGGTGGGTTGCAGGACACTGAGCTGCTGGACCACGGTCAGGACAAATTGCACGAAAACTGGGCAATAAAATACTTCGGGTGGGGGGAGACAAGCTGTGTGGAGAAACTGCAACAGAGCAGAACCGTGACAGCAGCAGCATCGAATGAATGAAGTTTAAGGGAATTTTCAGTGTAAGCGCAAGATAAACATGACTCTTGGGAGGGTGGTCCCTCTGTCCCCTGCTTGCAGTATTCAGCGTGTCCTGTGTCCGTGTCCTGTGTCCGTGTCCTGTGTGGAAAACGCACATGTCTGCCGGACAGGATGCACAGAGCCAACAGCTACTGTCGCAAATTAAACAAGTTGCCTGCCCAAATAGCAAAATACCCTCGATTGGCATTCGAAAGTGCTGCATGGACCCCTGTCGAAAGTCTGGAACGGAGTGTGTAAAACGTTGCCTTGGCCCCCTGTCTCCAGACACACATATGCAGTCGACTCTCTGCCACACCCACAGCATGGGGGCAGGGTGCACAAAAGTTGATCCTTTGGCTGCCGTCCACTCTCTGGCTGCTATTCTGACAAATAAAACATGGAAACCGCCATGCAAAGGCACAAATTTGTTTCAAAATATTTATGAAATATACACAAATTGTTTATGAAGCAAGAACCGCAAACGTTTCAGTTCGCTGGCAGGTCCAGGGCTTTTGGGAACCGAACCCCCACCGAAATGCGATATTTCTCGCCTTCCTCCCAAACAGCTTGAAAGCGGAAGTCAACTGGGATGCAGATACGAGCCGAGCAGGCTGCAACGATTTCAAACAGAGTGTTCAAGCGGAAACTTCTTTAATATTTGGCACTCTCTCCTTCCTTTCGCGACACTCTTTAATTAGAGGCTGACTAACTGATGAGTGTCCCGGTCGACATCGGTGATTGACAAGCAGTTTGGTGGTAAGCAGCATGCCAGGACACACCAAATTGGGGCAGCGAGCAAAAAACTTGATGGCCAAATGGTGTCCCTCCGACTATCCTCTGCTATCTATCTATCTATCTGCCCGTTGACCACAATGTATGGCCGGGCATTATTCAAAGGACATGATTCGCTTCGCTTCGCTTCACTTCTCCTCGCTTTGGCTTGGTTTGATTCGCGCGCTGGTAAAACAAGCGCGAAAACATAATGAGAATATAAATCGACAAACAATCAAACGGCCAAGGCAGACGGCAACAGTTTTGCAGCAAAAACAGAGGGCTAGCAGTTGGGGGCTGTATTTGGCTAGGGATTTTCTTTGTCTTGAAGGGAACTCTCGGGCTGTAGCCTGCTTATTGGGGATACGGCAGCTAGTCAATGGATGCCGCCTGTCGTCTGGGACCTGATTTTGGACCTGATTTGATATGTAAAGGATGGGTGTACGAATGGGTTTTCGTGCTGCAAAAGTTTCCTTTCTTTGTCTTGGCCAAGACAACAGCGAGCCCACAGCTGCGGGCGCCCCTTTTGCCTTCACCCCGAGTCCCAGGTTGTTTGTTTTTTACTTTCGCACTTGCCAAAAAGTTTGTTTCTTTGTTTTTTTTTGTTTCTTAGCCGGGCTTAATGCCTTTTGCTGGCGTCTGTGTTGCCCTCACACACTCTCTCTCTCTCTCTCTCTCTCTCTCTTCGGTCATTTTGGTAATTAGTTAGCAACTAGTGAGCTGTAAATTGGGTCTTTAATATGCGGTTTGTGACATTATCGTTAGAGCACAAACTTTCCCGAAACTTTGCAGCTGAAGTTGGCCTCTTTTCTTGCAAAATTCGTAGCTGTTTTGTACGCAGTTGGGAGCTTGGAAATTAGTTGTATTAGAAAGCAAGACCGTTGTACACTTTGATAATTTTATTTATTTCTGCGACGATGAGCTTTAAGCTTACCTGCGTGTGAGCATGAAGCAACTATAAAGGAGGGCCCGTCGGCTTTTTAGAGGGAAACGTAACACTGCTGTCAATAAGTGCGAGTGAAGAAAGTGAGAGAGAGAGAGAGAGAGCAACTTTACAATAATAAGAGTACAAGCTGCTCATACCTGCGTCCCACTAGGGTGGGGGGTTAATGACCCGAGGAACGTTGCCGACGACGGGCCCTCCTTTATAGTTGCTTCATGCGTGTGAGCATGTACATAAGTAACTGTGCATTATCGGCATCTCCTTCCCTACCACTTGGTTCTCTGCTGTGTCTTTTGCATGGCATTGAGAGAGAAGAGTAACGGTAAACGATTGCGTCGCCTTATGTTTACACTGAGTACAAACAGTTTTCGGTTGCTATTCAGCTACCAGAAATATATATCTGCTGTAAACATTTTTACGCATCTCAGTAGTTTCTGTGCCAACTGGTAAACAATTAGCTAAACGTAAGTATTTGACAACAAAAACACACAAACAATTTTACAGTTGGCCTTTGTTGATTCAAATATCACGGAGAGTGGACAACATTTCGCTGCTTATGATTCCTTGAAGCGACTTGCAAATTTGTCTGAAAATTAAATGTGTTTCGTCCATGATGAAAGAGAGGATCTGCGCCGCTCTGTTTCTGTTTGTGTTGGTCCTGCAGGTGGAGTCATGGAGCCCACCGGATGAGCCGTACATTTGGCGCAATGGATATGCAGGGCACGGCACCACCCACGAGAAAATGGGCAAGGGCCACTTTGAGGAAGTTCACTTCTCGAAGTTTGTGCCCACAACGAACTACTCAAAGAGAGCGAAGAATCCCAGCATGTGGGTGGACATTGTGTTCAAAATGTCACGCACTTTCTTCGACAAAATGTTCCCCATGGATCCGTCAATACCCAGGGGTGAGTGCAACATGTTGTGCAACATGTGTCTGCCGAATGTCCGAATGCTCGCTGATTGCAGGCTACATCAAATTCTTGGGCACGGATAACATGAAGCTGGGTCCGAAAGTCGAAAAAGAAGATTGGGCCCAGTGGCTTAACGCCTACTGGCTGATGTGGGCCTGGGTCCTGGTCCAGGTGGCCCTCATTCTCGCCATACCCTTTATAGGGTGAGTATCTTTGGCGCTGCTGTGCTCTCACTTATTGTCTCTCTTGTGTGTGTGTGTGTGTGTGTGTGTGTGTCATCAGCGTCTTATATTTCTGCCTCTGCTGCTTTCGCTGCAAGACTCGAGCGGGTTGTCCGGCCTGCGAGACGCATCTTAATGTGCGGCGACGCGTTGTCTTGGGCACCTGTTTGGGTTTGATGATTGCACTGATCGGGTAAGGCACTCACGGGGTCGGGTATTACCCGAATCGCACGCTTATTGGCCTGCTACACAGCTGCTGCATGGTGCTGGCGTTCCTCTCGAATGGCATGCTGGAGCGGGGGCTCACCACCACCAAGCAGATCCTGGAAGTGGGCAGCGTGGACACTTGCAACTTCCTGAAGGATGTCAGCGAACACGTTCATCATTTGTTTGTGAGCAACTACGAGGAGATGGAGACCCAATTGGTAGCCACACTCAAGGGTAGCATAATCCGTGCCTTTCCATCGCCAACGTAATGTTTTGTCCCTTACCCACCATAGATGCACCCAATCATTTGTTTAGAGACCTGAACGATGTGGCTGAAGGCAACGCCATAGCGGAGCTCGCACGGATATTAAACAATGTTTTCAAGGCGGTAGTAGATACGAGCGACGTTGAATCCGTGCAAAATAACTTGCTGCGGGATACCTTCGTTCTCAGAGAAGGTAAGTAAGCAGTGGCCGGTCCATATGTTATGTGCCAAAGAAAAAGATCTCTCGGGCAGCGCAGTCGGCACACGAGCAGCGTAAAAGCTACGTGTACCGCGAACCGCCGCAGCGGCAGAGAAGCAAGAAACTTTTTTAGCTTCGTGTCTGTTGCCTTTGTGCATACAAATGCACCTGCATGCCGGACCCTTGAGTTAAAGCTAAGCAAGAGAGAGCAAAGGTGCCAAAGAACACACACTCTCTCTCTCTCTCTCGCTGACTCTGACGCTGTGCAGCTCTCTGAGTAAAGCTCTCTCTCTGCGTGGTGAAGATCCGTTATAGCATGTAAGCAAGAAACGTTTTGGGCTTCGCGTCTCTTTTGTGAAACATGTGGGTGGGGCGGCATGCAATTATTTAACTTGCATTTAAGCACTAACGGAGCTGTTCTCCTTTCTCTTTTGTTTCGTTTTGTTTTGTTTTGTTTTGACAGCTCTGCGCGGCGTGAAGCGTAAAATAAACTTTGCGGCAACGGTGCTCTGTGGGAGCAAGGAATGCCTGAAATTTCTACGCAATGCGGACATTGAGTTTATTGACACATCCAGATGCCTGCACTTGGACGAAGTGAATACAATTTGCCCTAAATGCTGGAATATTATGCTAACACCCCCCTCCCCCCTTAAAGGCACCCAGCTTAAGGGAAATCAGATATGAGATGATGGTGGTCTTTCTTCCGGATACGTACAGAGGAAATCAGATACTGGACCGTCTCCGTGCGGTGAGCAAAAAGATCAGGAACGAACTGGAGCGTGTGACACCGCCGATAATCAAGGACATACGCAAGGGCGGCATTCTCTTTGCCGGCGAGTCGCGAAAAGTACAAGAAATAATTGATGTGGTCATCAGCGACATTCATTTGGGCACTCTCCGTGCGACGCGTGCATTCGAGGATCTCTACGATAAGTTCAATGAGACGCGCTACCACGTGGTCCTCTACATCTCCGTGTGCGTGATTGCGGTTTGTATTGCAGGCTCGTTGCGTATTCGCCCCATCTCTCTATCTATCTCTCTCCCCCCCACACACAGATACTGATTGTGCTGATTGTTGCTCTATTGCTCGGCTGCTTGGCACCGCGCGTCACGGGCGTCAACGATTCCTTCTTCACCATGAAACTGGGCTCCTACGCTCTCATATTGTAAGCTAACAACTCACTTCCATCCTCCACTTCAGTGTGTTCACTTGCAGAGCCATGATATTGATATTCTGCGTGATCTCCGCCATGCTGATTGTGGGCCTCTTCTACTTTGTCATCGGTTCGGTGGCATACAAGGGCGCCTGCGCACCGCTGAGGGAGCAAAAGGCGAGTGCGCTGCTCCGACAGCTGGATGGGCACATCGATCTGAAAAAGTATTTCTCATCGCAAGCCAAAGGAGCCGCACGCATGACTTTGTCATCAGTGATTGAGGCGTGCGAGGGGGAGCAATTTATATTTCCATTTCTGCGCCAACAGAGGATCTACAACGTGGACAATCTGCTGCGCGTTCGCGTGATGACGCCGCAAGAGAGGAATTTTGATCCGAAGCTGGATCTATCCAGATCATATTTGCTAACAACGTACGAGAGGGATGTGTTTCTGACCAAACCGGAGACGAACATTGTGGGGCTGTACGACAGTCGCCTGTTCACCGAATCCATTTGCCCCGAACTCACGCCCATGGATCTGCGACAACTCGAAGCGGACCTGCTGCGCCTCTCGCGCTCACTGTCGTCTCGTCATTACCACATGGCCAAGGTGGCCTTCGAGAACGAGTACGTGAGTCTGCAGTCCTTCAGGCGAGCCTTTCATGCAGCTGTACATCGAGATGTTGCAAAAATGGTCAAGGAACTGCGCAAAGCTGATAAGCTTTTGCTATACCAGAACTACAACCTCGGCGATTCCATTAGAATACTCAGACAGTCAGTGATTGATACTGAGAAGTTTATACAGACCAAGGGGACGGCATACCTGGCCACACTGGCCCAGAACCTAACCGAAATGGTTGATCAGCAGATCAACACGTACATCCGCATGGTAGTCCACGAAGCCAACTACGTTGTGGGTCGCTGTGAGCCACTCAGCTACATATACGACAACGGTCTGGATTTGGTGTGCAATCGCATGGTTGATCCCATTGTAAGTAGTTCCTTGATTGCTTTTTGCTGGCCTACTCAGTCGATCGATCCAATTGCAGAATGGCTATTGGATCAGCTTGGTCATAGCCGCCTTTCTGCTTATGCCCGTCCTCTGTGTGGCTCATCGCTTGCAGTGTTTGTACCAGCAAATAAGTCTACCACCGATACGGCCTGTGACAGCCCGGGCCGGCAGAGTGACAGCCCGGGCCGGCAGAGTGACAGCCGAGGAGCCCAGGTTGGTATCTGTAATCATTCAGGACATTTCACACACTAATCGTTAATCCTTCCTTGCAGCTGCCCCTTCTGCAGGGCCCACCAACCAAGAATGGAAGGTGGTCAGTTGCCGCATTCGGACTGCGAAGAAGTAACGATTGTCGATGACAGGAGCACGACAACGACAACGACAACGTCAACGTCAACGTCAACGGCGATTATCAACGATTTAGAGTCCAATAAAGACAGAAAGAACAAGCTAGATTAGTCTTTGGTAGAGATATTTATGTATAATAAAATTTCTAGTGGTGTCTGTACTCTGATCCAAATGATCATCTACCATGCAGCCAGTCTCCTCCCTGGCATGGCTCTTTTCGGATATTAAAGTTATTGAAGCTGCGTTCCACATATGTTCAGTCCTTAAATAAAGACTGGCACGTCCCTACGGTGTGCGCACACACACGGAGCGACTTTGTGCATAATTACCATATCCAATAAATCTCATTTCCATGGAGAGCGCACGATGGATGCTGAACACTGGCCGAGTCCGAAAAGTTTTTCTGCCGCCCGTGGCCATGGCATGGACCGTGCCCGTGCATGTGCATGTGTGAGTTCTGTGCCTCGGGTCGGCCAGCACGAGCAGAACACTTTGCTTTTTCCATGTCGGCTAGTATTCAGAATAATTTATTATTTAACAGGCCTAATGACAAAAGTTTTGTCATTTTATAACAAATAAAACGTGAAGCGACAAGCGGAGTGGGAGGTCCAACCTCTCTCCGTACTCCGTACTCTGCTCCGAGCGTTGCCCACAGGCACAAGAGAGAAGGAGAATTTACATTACAGCTAGCACTTTAACAGTTTTAACAGTTTCAACACTTTTAACTCTAAAAATAATTAAGTTTTGCTTCAAAATTTGCTAAAATTGTTACTGCTAGATTTGTCATTGCACCCACTGTGCGCGCGGAACCTCAATGGAAACGGTGCAGTGCAGCGGAGCAGCGAGAGAGGGAGAGAGAGTGAACCTCAATAGAGACGATGGAATGGAGAGGCACAGCAAGAGAGAGAGCGTAGAGAGAGAGAGAGAGAGAGAGAGAGTGGAAAAATTGTGCCACTAAGACCACTTTGATATCTATTACAATCAAATTGCAAATTAAATCACAAAGCAGAGTTAAACGATGGCAAAATCCAGGAATGGAAATGGAAGGAAGGAAGCAGTGCAGAGGGTGGAGCCAGCAGCAGCAGCAGCAGCAGCAGTGTGGGAGACAGAAATGAAAGCAGAATAAGCGAGCGAAAGAGAGAGAGCGAGAAGAAGCAACGGGGGAAAATGTCGCTTAAATTCGTTAGTCAAACAAGTCGAGTTATAAGTTTATTTTCCCGGCAGCTGTACATGTCCGAGTCAAGGTAAACCGAGGGTGGACTTGGTTACCCATGAACCCCCCTGTAACCACTCACCTGTCCAGCAGAGTTAGCTCCTGTCGCCGCAAGCGCAGCGAAGCGTGTGATTCCATAACATTCAGGTGCGGGGAGCGGGGAGCGGGGAGGGGTGTGGGCAGCAACAGAACAAAGACCAGAGACCAGAGACCAGACCCCAGAGACCAGAACTCCCAGCCAGTGAGTGCACGAAAAGGCGAAAAGCGAAAATCCAATGTCCGCGAGGAGTCAGCTGTGGACAGGGTCAGGCAGAGAACCGACTCCCAAGCTGCTGCCAGCAGTCAAGGACAAGAATAAGAAGAGTTAACGCTCCCAGTTGAACGTTTTATAAAGGATCCTCCCTGGGGCAGGGGCAGGGGCTGCAACTGTGACTGTGACTCGGCCACTCAGTCTGTTGCAGAGCCAAACTGACGACAGCAGCTGTTGGGAGAGAGCTTTGGGAGAGCTGGCTAACTGTCAACTGTGGCTACTTGTGCTGGCTGCTAACATGTGCCAGCTGAACACCCGTCGTCGATACCCCGTTGGACCAAAACGGAAATTAAATGCAACCTTCGCTGGAATGCAAGCATCCCGGATAGCTGGATGCAGTTTTTCAATGGCGCGGGGGGGGGGGGGGGGGGGAGCGGTCTTGTTCTTGTCGCGGGCGCTCG